CCAACGCCAGAGCGTAGGTGTAGCGACAGAGAGTCAAGACAGACCACATGTGCGAAGGCGTGCGTGGAAAAAGAAATGCATCTAGCTCATGCGCTTCGTGCGCTGAGCTCGCCAAGATTAGCAGCTTTGCGACGCATGTGTGGAACTGGTGTTTCCAACTGCAGCGCCCCCCCCCCGTGCGTGCATTGCTCGCAACATCCATGACGGGCCGCGCTGGCTCAAGGAAGAAGTTTAACGTGATGTTGAAAAATGCGGCTTGGCTTGCTGGGCTGAGCTGGCTGGGCCGGCGGGGCCGAGCTGGCCCAGGGGAGACATTATGGCGTCTTGGGCGCTCTGCCAAACAGGGGGCCCCCATCGGCAAACCATAGAGACATAGATGGATGTAGGAAGGGCCGTCTCTGACGCGCAGCCGCTCCTTCTGGGGTATCTGGTAAGAGGCAAAGGCGGACAAATTGAAAGACCGAAATCACAAAGGCCACTTCTAACGCGCCGAAGCCACTCTTTATATGTGTCTAGCGACACCTTAGCGAGCACCCCCATGCCCTGCATACGTCCAGGAGAAGTCCAGGAAAAGCCCCGCGCAGCCACTCCTTATGGTTATCTGGTAAGCGGCCTCCATCGGCAAACCATAGAGACATAGGTGGATGTAGGAAGGGCCGTCTCTGACGCGCAGCCCCTCCTTATGGGGTATCTGGTAAGCGGCGTAGGCGGACAATTTGACAGACCGAAATCACAAAGGCCACTTCTAACACGCCGAAGCTGCTCCTTATAGGTGTCTGGCCACTCCTTAGCGAGCACCCCCATGCCCTGCAGACGTCCAGGAGAAGTCCAGGAAAAGCCCCGCGCAGCCACTCCTTATGGGTATCTGGTAAGCGGCCTCCATCGGCAAACCATAGAGACATAGATGGATGTAGGAAGTGCCGTCTCTGACGCGCAGCCACTCCTTATGGGGTATCTGGTAAGCGGCGTAGGCGGACAATTTGACATACCGAAATCACAAAGGCCACTTCTAACACGCCGAAGCCACTCCTTATAGGTGTCTGGCCACTCCTTAGCGAGCACCTTCATGCCCTGCAGACGTCCAGGAGAAGTGCAGGATAAGTCCAGGACAAGCCCCGCGCAGCCACTCCTTATGGGTATCTGGTAACCGGCACAGGCGGACAATTTGACAGACCGAAATCACAAAGGCCACTTCTAACGCGCCGAAGCCACTCCTTATAGATGTCTGGCCACACCTTAGCGAGCACCCCCATGCCCTGCAGACGTCTAGGAGAAGTCCAGGAGAAGTCCAGGAAAAGTCCCGCGCAGCCACTCCTCATAGGTATCTGGTAAGCCGCGCAGCCACTCCTTATTGGTATCTGGTAAGCGGCACAGGCGGACACCGAAATCACAAAGGCCACTTCTAACGCGCCGAAGCCACTCCTTATAGGTGTCTGGCAACACCTTAGCGAGGACCCCCATGCCCTGCAGACGCCCAGGAGAAGTCCAGGAGAAGTCCAGGAAAAGTCCCGCGCAGCCACTCCTTATGGGTATCTGGTAAGCAGGGAGGGCGGTGCGGGTGCTGCGTTGCCCCCAAGTCATGCGCGCGTGTCTGGCAGCAAGTGTTCAAGTAGCTTCAGTTGCTCTGCCCACCATCGCCAGACCCGCCATGGAGCGCAAGCGAAAAATTGATGCGGCTCTGGGCAGCGCGTCGGCAGAACAGCTTACCGCAATTTCTCTATTCTGCGGGGCTGGTGGGATGGGCGTTGGCGTCGCACGCGCTGGTTTCAAAACCTTTTGGGCTGCGGATAAGTACTCTGCTACATGCGCTACCTACAACCGTTACGCGCAGCGAGAAATCGCATTACGGAGGGACTTGGCGAAAGAAGATTTCAAAAAACTTCGGCAGCAGCTCGCTTGCACTCCCGACTGCGTCTTGGGGGGTCCGCCTTGTCAAGGTTTTGCTCAAGCGGGCAAGATGAATCAGACCGACGCTCGAAACGATCTCGTAAATGTCTTTCTGGACGCTGTTGAGGAGTTGCGCCCGCGTTCCTTTGTGATGGAGAACGCGAAAACCTCAACGACGGACGTCGATTCCGCCCGCTGCTCGATGCCCTTGTACAGCGTGCAGAGAAGCTGGGGTATTCATGCGCGACAGAAGTCGTAAATTGCAATGACTTCGATGTCCCGCAGGCGAGGGGGCGGCTCATCTTCGTCGGTTTCGTGGCACGGCGGGAGGTTGCGCCGCCCAAGTAAGTACTTCTTCCGGGTGCTGCGCCGATATTCCAAGCGTGCTCAGGCAAGTGGCGAGGTGCTCAGGACCCTGGGGCGAGCCGGTTCCGAGACGAACCCGCTGGGCAGCACGGCCAAGATTGTCGTGACAAAGAATCCTGTGCTGCGCCAGAGCCCATATGCGGGCATGCTCTTCAATGGGAAGGGTCGCCCAATCGATCCAAATCGCCCCAGTCCAACTTTGACTGCTTCCATGGGTGGTAACCAAACGCCCATCATCGACGAAAAAGCAAATCTTTGATGGAGAAGAAGGCTAGGTCGTCGGGCTCCACCATGATCTCAAAGAGCAGCAGGACGAGGGTCGCAAGAAAGAGCGCCCGAGCGTGCCAAGACACCTGCGCAGACTTACGATTGCGGAGGCAGCCCATCTGCACGCTGTCCCACCAGACTACCCCTTTGGCGAAGCAGCTTACAAGCAGATCGGAAATGCCGCGTCTTGTAATTTCGCCTTCGCATTGGCGTGTGCTGCTAAAGAGACCCTCGATGCAGATGTATTGGCCAGCCCGCCGCCCGATGCTGCATCGGCGTGAGCACGGGCGTCTCTTAGTCCAGGGGCGCGCGGCCGTGTGTGAAACAAAGACCTGCGCAGGGGTGGTAGACGGTTCCCCCAGGCACTTTACAGGTCTGCAGGCGTTCGTGTTGCGAACGGGTTTCAGCTTGAGCTTGGAGGATGTGACGTTACTTCCAGAACGCACGGTGGCCCTGCAACGCTCCTAAGCAGTCGCTGAGGAGCAGTACGCTTTGAGGGCGAGCCTTGCGTAGTCCCCGCGTCTAGATGTGAGCTTGCTGCTTGTGTTGAAAAGAGAGGTCAGAAAAGAAACGCATGGGCCTCACGCGCATGGTGCGCAATGCTGGCGAAAGTCGGCTGGTTTGGTCGCATTCAAATGGCGTCAAGCAGCGTGCGGAGGCCTAGAGAGCTGCAGCGTGCCATCTTGCGCCGACTATGGTAAGAAGTTGACTGGGTGTACGCACGCGATGTGTGACACATGCGTCTTCAATTCCATCGGCGCCTTGGATTTCGATGGGCTTCAGCCGCGCTTCGCATTCGCATGCGCCATCTGGCGCTACCGTTACAGCGTTGGTGCAGAAACAACAAAGACTTGAATGGCAAAGTTCGTGCCAATGGCGCGCCCGGAGATGGAATGCGGCTGCCCAGACGACTGCGGCAAGACTTATATGGTCACGCATCGGCCTTGCAGCTACGGGTGCTTCGATTGCGCCGAAAGCAAGTTGGTGCTGGACTTATTGTCCATTCACGGGCACCGCCTGGACAGCGAAAGCGAGGCCATTAATTCGGAGGCCGCTGAGGTGGAGCCCGCTGGCGATTCCCCGCGCCTTTGGGGAGATTCTGACGGGGCCCGGAACGCAGTTGCCACGGATGCCTCCTTTGAACAGTATGAATTCGTAGGGATGGGGCCAGAGATGTAAGGAATGCAGCACGTTTTCGCCGAGGAGGCGGTGGCCTCGCCCACGGCCGAAGCGAGAGAAAACGATATGTGTAAAGTGGCAGCGCCAAGCCAGACCTAGGCGTTCCAGCCAGAAGTGTGCCGCCTCAGCAGTATGGATTGAATGAGAGTGGAGCCCGGTCATCCATCGAGATAAGGACGCGACCTTCAGCAAATTCCAAGGCGGCCATCTGCGGTGCATGGAGGGGGGCGACTCCTTCTCAGTGTCCACTCGAGGCGTGTGGACGAAGATAGACGGACGGCGCTGGGTGGAGCCGTGCAGCGGAGACCGCTACTCCATCGTGCTCTTCTGCTGCGAGGGCGCGCCGCAGCCCATCTTTTGCCATTCTGCGAACGTCGGCGCGAAGCCAGTGACTCGCGCGTGGAAGCGACCTTCGCCCGAATGGAGGTGAGTATCGCAGTCGAGGCGTTATTGGGTGAACGCAATCCTGCTCTAGGTGTTGGACCGAAATCGTTATTATTCCCTCAGCACCTTCAGGAATAAGTTACTAGTTGGATGTTCTACTCGACAAAGTATTCTTTCACGCGCGCAGGGGCTACCACTCATCTACTCCTCAGCACCTGGAGAGCAAGTGAGTAGTAGGATGTTCTACCATAAGCCGCTCTTGCGCATTGCAGACGAAGTTTCGTGAACGGCAGACTCGGTGCTCACGCGGGCATTACTACCGATTGCGCACGCTTATCGTTATATTATAAGCGCAGGCTCAAATTTCTGCAAACGGATTCTTGTTTCGCACATAGGAGCAATGATTCCCTCTTGCGCATTGTCGCCCTTGCCGCAGAGCTTTGCCATACCTTACCGCGTCCAAAAACCAGGGTTACTTCAGCGCAAGTGCGCCGGGCATTGAGACAATAGGGAAATATTTTCAACCCTTGGCAATGCTAACGAGAGTCGCTCATCATTTGTGGTTGGTCGGCTACGGAGGAAAGAGCTTCATTCTGAATTGTGCCATCGTCGAAGAGACGCTGGACAGCTCGACTATCTGGTGGCTGATCTTCACGCGCATCACGCCAACCAAGGAGAACAAGGTCAAATAATGGCTGAGGAAACATCTGCCTCCAGACACTCTGGACGTCGAGGGCCTTCAGACGCTGAATCCATGGCTGCAGCGCCGCCTTGGTTGGGGCGATGTCCGCGCCACGCCAGAACTTCTGGTGGTGCTACGGCAGGAGGCGCGGCTGCCTGCGCTCAGCCTTCAAGACGAGCTAGTAGCAGGTAGACATCAGCTGGCTCGCAAAGAGCTGCGGATCCGCCAACCGCAGATTCCTGTGTTCACAGCGAATTCGGTCTTTTGTACCCACTGGGGGCGTACTGCGCAACTTGCAAAGCGGTGCGGGAGCGAGGGCGTGTTTCGCATTCTGGAGGGCGCTGCTGCCATCATGGCCATGCCCGACAAGGCTCCCGTCCAAGCCCTCCCCTCCGCACCACTGGCATTGAACAACGGCGCGGCGACACCCCTGCCTGTGGCAGCTCAATCGCCTGACCTTATTTCTATGTGGGACAATGTCATCAAAGGCGTTCCGGTTACGGACAACATTCAGCTCCGAACCACATGCCAAATATTGCGCCAGGCCGCCTTTTGTCGCGTGGCCTCCTTTGCTCGGAATTCGCGTAGGGTTTTCTTTGAGAAGCCAGAGCAGGACAGCGACAGCGATGAGGACGAAAAGCGCCAAGACAAGGTGCACACTGTGCACTTGTGGGGTTCTGAACCGTTCCGCGTCGTGAACATGACGGCCGCGTACCCGGAAATCTTGCAGTGCATCTCGCAAGAACTCGGGGAAGACGTTACTTTTGCGCGCTCCCTCGTCAAGCTTCTCTACGTGGTCCGCCAGAGAGCGCCGCCATGCCCTTCTCTGGATTCTAAGCTCCTGGACCAGGCGAAGGGGATATGGGCACTGCGTGTGGGTCGCAAGCCAGTCGAGGCGTTACGGGCTCACGAGCTCGACTTGTTAGACAGCTTCCTTGCGCGCCCGCGGATCATTCGCTGCCGCGTCTGCTATAAGCCGTGTGACGACGCAAAGTACCGCATGCGCAGTTCCTGCAAGCAGCACGTGATCGAGTGCGACAAGTGCCACTTCAAATGCAACTGCCCGCCCAGGCTGATGAAAGCTCCGGAACGCTCAAAGGTAGAGACAGGCGAAGACGCAGCCGAGATCGAGCGGATGTACAGGAAGGGGAAGGCACATATCGAGAGCTTGAATTTGGCTACAACGATGTGGTGCCGATTCAAATGCCAGAAATGCGGATTGTGTGCGCGCGACAGCGTGTGCCCCAAGCCAGAATGCCGACCAAAGAGCGCAAAAGTCGCCCGATGAGCTGAGCTGTAGAGCCTAGTAACAGGAGCAGGCTAGGCGTGCGTTCAGAAAAACATGATACTTCTTGCAGATTTGCCGGCGCAAAATGCGATGCGAACACGCCACTGCTTCTGGAGCAAAGATTTCTTTCAGACCCTTGCGTAGGAACATTTTTTTTGGGGGACAGAACTAATCCCCCTAGAAATTTTTATTTTGTCCTCGAGTCAGCTGTCCCGAGATGTCCGGAGATGTCCGCAGATGTCCAGAGATGTCCGGAGATGTCGGGGTGTGTACGGTGTTCAGTCACGGAGTAGGAAAAATAATTATTTCTTGGGGACAGAACTAATCTCCCCCTAGAAATTCTTATTTTGTCCTTGAGTCAGCTGTCCCGAGATGTCCGGAGATGTCCGGAAGCCTTCCAAGAGCAAGGGTGAACGCAATCCTGCTCTAACCTGTTAGACCGAGATCACGCATAGCGCCTGTGTGTGCCAGGGAGCGAGGAGTGCGATCAACGCGCATAGCCGATTAAGGAAAGTGCAGAGGAAGACAGTGTTGCCTAATGCGAACGCGCGTGAAACCCTTCATCTGAGAGACATCTTGGTTCAAGTGTGATCGCTGCGCTTCCCCCGGCCATCATGGATCGCTGCGATTTCATCTTCGAGATCGATTCGTTCGAACTCATGCCTGGCGCAACCCCCTGCGCGCAGGTGCCGCGACGCCGGTCGCGGTGTCCCGCGGCGGCCGCATCATCTACCACGGTAGCGAACCAGAGGCGATGGAAGCCGTTCTCCGACCAGGCGATCATGTCAGCCGGCCCAGCGGGGAGTGCATCGAGTTCCTGGGTCGCGAGGATCCTGCCCCACGGTGGTCTCCCATCGCGTTCGCGTTGGACCGCCGTGGCCTGCAGCAGCCAGTAGCCAACGGCGTAGTAATGGAGTGGCTGGTCGCCATGTTCCTCGGCAAGGACCCACCAGAGTACAAATGGCGCAGGGCCCCGCCGCTCTTCTGCACTCTGATCTGGAGGTGTCTATGTGAACTTTGTGGCCTTCATGGAGACCCACAGCCACATCTTCCGCGGACTTTGTGGACGACCGCCCCCTCATCACGCCGCAGTGGCGAGCAGAGCACCCCGTGGAATGGCAGCGCCTCTGGGGCCAACAAGCCAGAAACGAGTGCACGGTGTGCCACAAGAAGCTCGATAGTTGGGACGGCCCCATGAACAGCGACGTGCCCACTCGTTGTAATCGCTGGGCCTGCGTTGCCTGCTGGGCGGAGATTTCGCAGCGGGGCCGCCCCGACGACCTCGCAGTCAGTGTGGCTGCGACGACCTCACAGTGTGGCTGCGACGCTTTGCGGATGACGAGTGAAAGGCCAGCTCCCGCGCAGGTTTGCCCAGGCGCAGGGAGCGGCGCGGGTGCGCAGTCAGACAGGTGACCGCCGTCAGCCTGCCTGGGCGAAAAGACATGCGGCGATGCGTTACATGTCGCGCGGGAGCTCGCGCGACCTCCCCGCGTCCCACCCCGCCAAGTGGCTCAGGGGCTAGCCCCGTGGCGCTCGACTCCTCCAGCGATCCTTGGGCGGTTGCTCATAGTTCTGTGTCCAGGCAGCAACAGAAAATGGTCGTGAACGCAGCGCGCAATGCCGCTCCATTCAGGCCAATCGTAAGCAACGTTCGAACGCGCAGTGTTGAGCCTCTGACAGACCGAAATCACCATAAGCTTGCTAGAGAGGCCAGCCTTGCGATGTTTAGGAGGCGCAGCGCGCAACGCCCCAGCCCATCGCTTATGCTTGCGTGGCCCCCAGGGCGCCCTTAGACATGCAGCCAATGCAGTCAGGCGCTTTTCCACGGCTGTTTGCAGTCGTTTGTGCTCAAGGGATTCTTGTTTTAACTTTACCTGCGCCCCTCAACTTCTCCATGGCGGACGCAAGCTCTGATGCCTGCTCCATCGCACCGCCGTCCCTGGAGAATCTGCAGCGCCGTGTCCGCAAAACGAAGGAGAGCCCTCCACGCGCGGCGGTCTACGATGTGATTGCAGCAGTGAAGAATCGCGACCAGAACTACGCAGGTCAGATTTACAAGCGTCTCCTTGACGCCGGCAAAGTTCCAGAGTGCGCCGAGGTGGACCTGGTCTTGGTTCAGCCGCTTGGTTCCTGCAAGTGCGTGAACCAAGAAAGAAGGTAGCCAATGGGGCGGCGACCGTAAGCCCGTCCGAGTGGCCGGCGCAAGTGAGATGGTTCAAGTCCCCGCGTAGCTGCCAGGCAATTGCGACTTCAACAAGGCTTGCGAGGAAGTGATTGCGAAATTTCTGGACGTCGCGCCTCGTGATCCGGATGCTGCCGAATTTCCGGACGCTGCTGGTCCAGCTAAGGAGGACCAAGGCGCAACGCGATCCTGGCAGGAAGCGTCGGGAGTGCCGCTGTGGCCCAAGGAGGCGCTTACCGATGCCGTGGCGACAGGCATCGAGCAAGGCGTTAAAGCCGCGCAGGCCGCCTACACAGGACAGTTGCAAGCCCTGGGGCGAGAGCTGCAGAAGGTCTCAGAATATGGACCCCGCATCGAGATGAGCCGCGCCTTCCCGAGTCGCCCGGGTGAGCTGCTGGACTTGGGCCTAGGCAGATCTGCAGCGCTTGGGCGAATGCGGCCTGCCCGTCACCACCTTTCTCCAGGAGAAGTTCCCGGAGAAGAATATCTCGCGGATCAGCGCATGCTTCGCCAAGACACTCAAGCAGCGACGCCTCGAACTGCACAGGGAAGGACCTGGAGGAGCACCAGATCTTCCTGTTCTACCATCAAGGAGAGTGGCCGCAAAGCGTATTTCGAAGACGATCGACCACTAATGGAGCAGGTGCTGGCGACGCCCGCCATGCAACAGACCATTCAGTGCCTCCTGGGCATGGTGGCGACGGAAGGGGAAAGCGACGAGCGGCGACAAACCCTCCTGCCCGCATATGCAGCTCCATCTTCTGCTGGAGCCAGTGGCGCAAGCTCAGCCTGATCGGTCGCCCCCGACTGAGGCCGCTGTGGTCAACGCAAAGCACAGCCACGACGGATACTGTGCCTCGTTTGCGCTGCCACTGGCGAAAGAAAAGAGTTTCACGCAGCAAGCGCACGTCCCAGCGCATTCATCCGTGGAGCGAGACGGTAATCTGCGCTTGCAGGTCGCAGCCCGGCATCTCTGTCCATCTTGCTCATTCCACCCCCGTGGCTTCCATCCAGTACCTTAGAGAGGCATTCCATTTGGCCAGAGCCACAGCAACCGATTCCCGCTGCGGCTGCATGCCGCTCCAGGGCGCCCCCGAGGAGGAGAGCTGCCCAGGGCCGCGCCCCGCGCTTGCACCTGAAGCCACCGCCACAGCGGCAAGAAGCATAGAGGCCTCCAGGGGCGCAGGCCGTCAGGAATGTCCACAGAGCGACGAGACACGGTGCGAGATGTATGGCTGCAGCAAGGCCGTGCTCCAAAGCGCAAGCTGCTGCCAACGGCGGCTCTGTCCTGAGTGCGCCCTGCGGTGCTCACAGCGGCGCCTTGGTCCGGCAGAGCTTCGCAGTTTCTGTGCGAGGTTCGTCCAGAGCGGCGCGGGAATCTCAACTGCGGCAGCCGTGGCAGACTTCAGGTGCCCCTTCTGCCGCAACAAGCGGCCCTTGAGCGAGCGAGACGTGTGCGTGCAATCCACGATGGAAGTGCCTGCGCCCTTGTTCCATGCAAGCGAGTAGCTGAGGACAGGCAGCTGCTGGGGGGGGATATCGGGCGCCGAAACTGAGTCGTGCAACTGCGTGGGCTAAGCGCTATGAGCTTATCTAATACAAGCATACGCGTAGTAAGTGCGCAACTCGCGTACAGTCACGCAACAAAAAACTGGCATGAAACCCTCGGTCTGGGTGCTGCGTTAATAGGCCTGGACGGGCGAAGCCACGCAGCCAGCAAAGAGAGTGACTCAGCAACCAGCTGCCTACTCACACCGCCTGCGCCAAGCGATGGCCGGCGATGGGAGCTGCAAATTTCTTGGTGACGCGAGACAGCCTCTCCTGGCGGAGATACGCCAGGACATGCGCAACGAACTGGTCAGACCTGCAGACACCATGGACGCCATAGCTCCGACCAAACATTGATGATGCAAGTGCCCAGGCCCTCGCGTAGAGGTTGGGGAGCGCTGCGTACCCAGAATGTTGCCTGCGCGGTGCCGTGGGGATGGTACTTCGGCGGTGCCGTGGGGTTGCGGTACCCTACGGCGCTGTGGCGGTACCGTGGGGTTTGTACTTTTGCGGCGCCGTGGGAGAGATGCTGTGGCGGTACCATGGAGGTACCGTGGAAGCAGTACCGTGGCAGCGGTGCCGTGGCAATGCCGTGGGAGCGGTGCCAAGGCGGTACCTGGCAGTACGTGGCAGTACCATGAGGATGGTATCATGGCGGTACCGTGGGGGTTGCGGTACGGTGGCGGTGCCGTGGGAGCTGTGGTGCCGTGGCGGCGCCGTGGGGCGGAGGTGCCGTGGCAGTGCCGTGGCGGTACCGTGGGGGTTGCGGTACCGTGGCGGTACCTTGGCTGTGCCGTGAGGGCGGGACCATGGCGGTGCCGTGGCGGTGCCGCGGCAGTACCATGGGGGCAATACTGTGGGGGTTGCGGTGCCGTGGCGGTACCGTGCGGCGAAGGTACCGTGGCGCTACCGCGGCAGTACCGTGGCAGTACCGTGAGGGTCGGTACCGTGGCGGTACTGTGGCGGTACCGTGGTGGTATCGTGGCAAGTTGGCAATATCAGGAGGGCGGTACCGAGGGGGTAGTACCATGGTGGTACCGTGGCAGTACCTTGGGAACGGTACCTTGGCAGTACCATGGGGGCGGTGCCGT